TACAATGATATAATAAAATCCTAATCGACACACATCATATGCAGATGTAGGTTATCTCTCTGACCACATAAAGGTAAATCATAAACAGGATACGTGTTTACACGTAAAGGAACAACTATATCGTGGAGATCTGTAAAGAAATCATTGACAACAACATTCTCAAATCATTTGGAAATTATTTCAATCTATGAATCACACCGAGTGTGTGGTTGAAGAACGTGATCCATCATATCCAAGTATCATGCGGATTAATTTTAACAAAATATAGTCCAACAATTTTGTATGAAGATAATGTTGCTTGTATTGCACAACTCAAAGGAGGTTATATCAAATGTGATATGACGAAGCATAGTTCTCCAAAAATTTTTCATACACATGAGTTTCAAAAGAATGGTGACATCGATTTTCTACAAATTCAAAGTGCCAATATGGCTGACTTATTTACAAAAGTCATTACAACATCTACATTCAAGAAATTGGTTTACAGGATTGAAATGTGTCGACTCAAAGATTTTCTGTGATCAACATCTGGGTGAGTAGCTGTACTTTTTTTCCTTCACTTAGGTTTTATCCCACTGAATTCTCCTAACAAGGTTTTGATGAGCCATTATTTATCTTTAATACTCCAAAATAATTGCACTCCTTTTTCTTTCATTTGATTTTTTTGTCCCATTGAATTTTTATCAAACAAGATTTTAATGAGACGAATATTTTGTAATGTGTCATTCAAGGAGGAATAATGTAAATGATATTATTAGTAAATGACAATTGTATCCCCTACGGCCCTAGAAATTATTAATATTGTATCCCTAATCATGCCTTATAAATATATAGTTTTAGTTCTCATTATAATAAACACAAATCTATTGACTTTTATTTTCTCTTCTTTTTTTTTATCTCTATTTTCATAACATAATTATTATTATTTTATTTAGAGCAAGTTAGAATCACTTTATTCGATAATATTATAGACATTTCATTGCTATATAAATGGATTATATCTTGAATAGCATTATTAAAAAAATAAAAAGTAAGAAATCCCTTTTGACCAGTCAGTTAACCTAAGGTAAACGTGCATCATGCTCTATTTCTTTAAATGCTTGTTTCCTCAAATGCTTGTTTCCTACTTTGTGATGTGGTGATATAAACTAGTGTATTCCTAATTCGATCAATTTGATCTTTAATATGTTGCATACCATCTTGCATAATTAAATTAATAATATAACAAACACAACGAACATAAAACAAAAAATCACCAAAATCAGAATAAAGTATTATACATATTAACTATAATAGACTTGTTAACATTAGCATTGTCAAACGTAAAAGAACGAATTTGACTTTCACATCTATATTCCCTAATAATTTGCATGATAGAATTAAAAATATTATTAGCATTATGAGGAAAGTCAATTATTTTAAAAGCAATAGTTTTTTTATGCATCACCCAAAGTGAGTCTATGTAGTGTATAGTTGCTACTATATAACCCGTTTTATTTATGTTTTCTCATAAATCTGAAGAGAATAATATAACACCACCATATATATATTTAAATCACTAATCAATTGGTTCTTAGCTCTAAAAAAATAATTTATGGCATCACTACGAAGAGTGTTTCTACTTACTTTTTTGTACCTTGGTTGAAGATATTCCTTCACGAATGTTGTGAAATTGTCATTGTCCACTATGCTTAGCGGCAACTCAGTACCGACAACAAACTTCACCATTCCATCACGAGTTCTTTCCTCCGAAAACATTCATGTGCTTAGTGTTGAACAACCGCTACCGAAAGGAGTACCAAATGGTAGTTGTGTTTGAGATTGACCAACAACTTCATGTTTGGTCGTAAATTTGACTTAGTGACGGTCGAGGTGGCGATATCATTTTTCCATGCTAATCATAATTTACAATATTTACACACTACCTTACACTCTTGGACTCCTTCGGCATCAATATCAGTTGTAATCAATTTAAAGAGTTTGCAACACTTTGCGGTGTTATTTCTCTTTGCCTTTCCCTTTCCTCTTGCATTGGAAATTTGTAGTGCAACTTCGCTAGCATTTTCATCAATGTCATCCAAATCAATTGGATTACTATTTTCATAAGCATCGTCAACTCCCATTCCTAACAAAATCGTTGGGAATGTGGACGTTATGGAGGCTAACAAATTGATTAGAAAAATTAGATTGTGGCTCATAAGTGAGTGGCGGCTATTGAACAAGCCCTTAACGAAATCATGAGGATCCATTTGTATTATGTACTAGAATGTTGATTGTAGCAGAGAAAAAAGATGAAATGTATAAATTGAATAATGTATAGTGTAAAGAATATAATTGAGAGAATGTATATAATATAATTGAAAATGTAATAAAAATTATAGAATGTATATGTATTATGTAATAATGAATTTATGTATAATTGTATATGTAATATAATTGTAGAGAACAGAAGAATTGTAGAATAATGAAGGAATTTTAGAATTCTAGATAGCAGAAGAGAGATTGTCGAATTTGTTGTGAAAAAAAGGGTTTAAATTAGAGGTATTTATAGACGAAAAAATAATAAAAATAATTTCCAGAGACCGTTGAAATCCCAACAATCTCTTTGAAGAAGTTTGTGATCATTTCAAATGGTCACGAACATTAAGAAGTGATCGTTTGGTTATTGTTTGGCTTGATGAGTCTTGCCTACGAGCCATCGTGGCTCGCTGAGTCGGCTCGTGGCTTGGCAAACGGAGCACCATGCTCATCTAGTGCTTGGGCTTGTTCCGCAATGAGGCTGAGCCATCCATGAGCCGAGCTTTTTTTAGTTGAATCAACGAGCTACTCGACTTGATCGACACTACTATATAAGGCAATTCTTTGCCTATATCTTCTATATACCAAAATTTAATGCATGAAAAACTTCATAAACTTTAAAAAAAATGTTATTTATTAAAAGTTTTTAATTATTACTTTATTGAATAACATTATAGTTGTTTCATTTCTTTTTAAGAGCTTGTTTGACAACCATTATTGTATAGTTTTAACTTTTTGGATTTTTAGGAGAATCTATGTTTAAGAAATAGAGAATATTTTTTAATATACATGGAAAAAATTTAATTTTGTGAATATATGATTGAAAATAGTCATGTAGCAAATTATAAAATAAATTAATAATTTTCAAACACGCTCTAAATTGAAAATCATCTTTAAACCTGGACGTGCATCATGCTCCATTGAATTCAAAATCCGAATTGCACTCAAAAGATTGGTTCAATATGAAAATAATTTCAGAAAACAACTGCACCAGTCAGAATTAAATCAATCAAATTGTATCCTAATTGAACTTGATTTTCGTCCGTGAAATTCCCAAAAATCCCTTTTTGTCTGGCCACAATACACTGAACCTGTACATATAAAATTTAACTTGGACTCTTGGAGGGATAAATTTGTCTTTGCATTCTTCATTATCCCAGCTTTTAAATGTGAAGTTGGAAATTATTTTCCATTATCGCGTCTCTTCAAAGCATTAGAAAATTTTCATTTCGTTTTAGAGAGAAAAAAATGGGTTCTCTTGGCAAGGTATGCCTTTCTAAAATCTCAATTTAGGGTTCAATGTTTAATTACTGTAAATCTCTAGTTAATTGGCTATTACGTTCTAATTTTGATCGTTGATTGATTCATTTTGTTCCTCGAAAGGGATAATATTCGGTTCCTTATTTCACGATCTTCACGTGTTTGTATTGTATTTCTGTCTATGTATACCTTGAAAGTTAATTTTTATACGTTAGGACAAAATCGCGAATTTTGATTTACTGAATTAGGTTGTTTATGGATTAGAATTATGATGGACTGCTATGATCTGCTTGAACAATTGCGTTGTCCTGTTCTTTTTAACGTTCTTAATTAACTAACAAAGCTTTATGGAATTGTTACGGCTTGATCTAGAATTTAAGAGTAATGATTACAAATTGTAACCCCACTGTGATGAATAACGTTACTCATAATTTAAGGACGTTTGTTGAGAATTTTAATTCTCGAGGACTTTTGAATGGTTCTATGAATTAATGTGTCGACCACGAAATGGAGAGTTGAAGGGGGGCAGCAGGTGGGGGGTGGGGATGGTTTTGATTTCTGATCCTGCAGTCTTATTTCTTTAAACCCAGCTAATTTTTGCAAATTCACTTGTGTTTTTATATTTTTATTTCTGTAATTTGCTTGATAATATCTCATGGAAGCTTGGAATGAGTTTGTTTTGAATCATTGGCATCAAACCTCTGAAACACTATGTTTGGGGAATCTCCTTTTATTCACAAATTTTGTGCTCCATAGAATAATTATCCCAATTCTTTTATAAGGGTCTACCTATTAGGTGTTAATAAATTTTCAGCTTACTTCCATTCTGAATTCTGGAAAAAAAAAAAAAAATTAGTGCATCCAAATTTGGATGCTTTAACTAATGAAGGGTTGATTATCGTCGCTATGAATTATTATTTAGATTTCTTCTTACTTTCTAAGTGAGAATAAGTGTTGCGTTGTCCTTTATATTAACAACTTGTAGATGGTGTATATGTTTCTATCAATGAATTTATTTCTTCTTACTATAAAGCCAAGAAGCTGCTCTAATAATCTGTAAGAATTTTTCCTTTTTTAGTTTTTTCTTTCCTTGTTAGAAGCAGGATGCTTGATGTGTTTTCTCTTAAATTATTTGTGATATTTGTTGATTGTGTCGTACTATTACCTCCCAAGTTTATTATGAATAAGACTTAGAGGCTTGTGTACAGCTCCTCTGACATTCACCAATCACCACTATAAAATATGTCCAAGATGCAGTTGTCGGTCATATTTACCACTTAGAAGTTCCTTTCCTTATTAACTTCCTCTTAAGAAGATCAAAAAGGGGTATGCAACTTAAATTTGGTTTCCTGCAGGATGACAGAGAAGAGGTTATACAGGCATGGTACATGGATGACTCTGATGAAGATCAGAGGCTCCCACATCACCGTGATCCAAAGGAATTTGTGTCCTTGGATAAACTTGCCGGTACATACCCTTTGACTTTGTCATTATTTATGACATATAAGATTTTTATCTAAGCCATCTTGTAAATTTTTCAGAGCTTGGAGTGCTCAGCTGGAGATTGGATGCTGACATTTATGAAACAGATGAAGAGTTGAAGAAAATTCGTGAAGCTCGTGGATATTCTTACATGGTATGCCTTGATATGATAAAATGAAAGCGACAATTGAAGTTATAGATAGTTTTTCAGTGAAATCAAGTATAATGGGATTAACATATATTTTTAGGACTTTTGTGAGGTTTGCCCTGAAAAACTGCCTAATTATGAGGAGAAGATCAAGAACTTTTTTGAAGAACATCTTCACACAGATGAGGAGATCCGCTATTGTGTTGCAGGGAGCGGTAAGATTAAGCCTCCATTTGAATACTATTTATAAATTGGTTTACAAATTAGTCGAAGCCAGACATTAGTTTCAACCACACATTCATAACTACTACTCATT